AATGAATTCATTACTTTTCTGCCTGGTGAGGATTTGATTAAAACTCGAGTCACCTGCTCATTATCAGGTTAGGAAATGATGGTGTGATTGGCTTTTTCCATAACCAGAAGACAAATTGATCAGAGTTGTTTGTTTTCCTTTGGGCTTGAGTCTACGCATGACTTCATTCATTAACTCTGCCTGGAGTGAAGCTGAATCTGTCCTTATTGTGCCCAGCTTATCATTCCCCAGTGAAGGGACTCGGAGGCTGCTGGTTCCAATTCTGTCCATCTAATCAGGGACTGACTTACACCTGCAATGCCAGGTGAATGCAATAAACTCAGTGGGTTGCGACACCAGCAGCGCTGCGATTCCCGAGGACTTGGATTGAGAACTGCTGTTGTCGAGAAATGCTGACACCAATAACAAATGATGTTGTCAAGGACAAATGTAGAGCATCTTTATCCCCACAGTAAATAAGAAGTGAGCCTGGAGTTATTTTCTGAGCTGCACACTCACACGACGAACACTAATGTAAATAAGAACATCGTCTGTTGACGAATGTAGCGCTGGTTTTTGTCCATCTGTGTTAGATGTTTTTGTTCAATTACAACCATAAATGTTCTGAGAGATATTTTATCATTTTCAATTTTCAACTAAAAATAACTAATTGTCAAAAACTGACAAAAATCAGGTTGATACATGCAAAATTCTGTAATGAAGTTTTTTTGTGCATCCTATTGTATAAAGCATTTATAAATTAATGCTGTATAAACAAAAATTCAAAACATTTTGGTAAAAAACACCTCATACAAGTAAGGTATTTTAAAAATATTTTATAAAGTTGTGCAAAATAATATACAGTTGTATTAATAAAATTATATAAAATAAAAAAGTATATTTACATTTATTATGAGGTATTTTTAATGTGATTTGCAGGCGTCGACTCTGTGTAACTGATACTTCAGACCTTCAGTGCTGCACTGGTAATGACATTGAACTCTACAGTGGTTAGAGATGGAAAAAGATTCCAAATGAAAATGTCATTAGTTTGTTTTCTTTGTTTTTCTGCCTTTTCAATTATTATCTGCTTTCATTCTTACATTTCATTCTAAATTGGTCTCAAATGTTTGGGTTGGGATTTTAATTTATGAACTTGTAATAAAAAAAAACAGGTTACACATGATTAAAAAAAAACTTGGCACCTGGCAAAAAAGCTGAGAGAAGAGAAATGAGAACAAAAAGGCAACATCTTGGATGTTGTTGTTGTTGACTAACAACATGTTGTGTCTTCAGATAAGGGGTAAAAGCAGCATCCACCAATGGATGGGTTTTTACAAGAAAGAATGTTTTTAACTAAAAAGCACCTGCCAATATTTTTCAGTATAAATGGTTAATATTCTGTGAAAGGTCAATGTAAAGGTCAAGGGAAGAAACAGCTGCTGAATGAACATGATGTTCAAACCCGTAGGCTTTATTGACTTACAAACCTCAAAGCTACCGTGGCAGACGTGGCCACGTCACCTCTGGTCTACTTTAGAAAATCACATTAGCTTAATACAGTCCACTGCTGCTTCAAACGTGCTTCTTGAGACGGTGTCAAGCTAAGAGGGAACCATATATCACCATTGTGTAGAGACGTTATTGAGTTTGCTGAGCCATCGCTCCGCTGAGAAGGTCATGGAAAACATTGCGGGCTCTGTTACGTTGTTGCCTGTTTTCTGTATAAATGATTGTTGGAATGTTAATGACACAGACTCTCAGACTTTTATCAATGAAAAGTGCAAATTCCAGCCCCTGTGGTAGTACAGCATGAGGTTCAGTCAGTAAAAGTACCGTTAATCCACAGGCTTGTACCGGACCTTTACTGGATCTCAGCTCAGAGTCCTTGGAAAGCCGGCTTTAATTTTTTTAATGTTTTGCAGTAATTAACAGTGTTTGTTAGTATTAGGACTCAGAATAGAAATAATTTTTTCGGAAGTGCTTATCACGATCTTTTTTGAATTGGTTGATAAAAGACTACTTAAATATGTTAGTATTTCAGTGTCATTCCTTGTTACAAATGTATTGTTATTTTATTTATTTTATATATTTACTCTTTTACTCTCTTTAACTAACTGTTTTGTTTGTCTGAAAATAAAATATATATTTTTTTTAAAAGGAAATGCAGAGTTTTTTTTGTCTGAAAATAAAATATATATATTTTTTAAAAGGAAATGCAGACTTTTTTTAAATGAAAGAGATAGTGAAAGGCAGAACATTTTAAAGGGAACAACTGAATGATGTAACCACTTGTAATACAAATGATTTCATGTTGGAGTGTTCTGTGTGTTTCGGAAGTCTGAAGCACAGTGTATTAGGAGTGCAAGACGTTTTTCATTTTCTTTACCCTTCACTGTTGACTGACTACTTTTAACATCTTCTGATATTTGAAATAAATTAATAAATAATGTGGAGCAAGTCCGGAAGCAGATTAAACTACAGTCAGAAGTACTGTGCTATATTTAATTTTGTTTTAGTATCATTTTCTTTTTTTAAATCTAAAAAAAAAGAAGGTTTATTTATTCATTCATTGTGTTTTGTTTTCTTTCAGCCAACAACACCCTGCTCGGTGGAGGAGGAGGTGAGTCACAATCTATGTATCTGAAAGTTCTATGCACCGTTCTATGTCATTTTTATGTACTCATGATGGTTCCAGGCCGTAGCTGTTGTTTCATCTCTGTGTCGCAGAAGTTGGACTTATGGAAACTACAAAAGCAGAAATGTTCTTTTTCATATATATAGATAGTGGAGCACAGCGTCTTTCTGTTTAGAAACAGACAGTTCTTTGTTGTGGCAGGTGTTCAAAGTGTGTTTGGATGCTGCTACTACTAAGAGCATTTGTCTGGCTGTGTGTTTGCAGGTGTAAAGTCGATAGTTTATAATTTATGGGCGTGGAGTGCTGTGGACATAAACAGTCATTTTTCAGTGTATTGTTGACTCAGTGCTTTGCTGCGTGCGCGTGATGTTGGACGTCCACGGCTAATCAATACCTGTAATAAATCTACACTACTAATGCGGCTGCCACATTTGCTGAAACACGCACGCACGTGCGCGCACACACACCTCAACTGGTGTTTGTTAATAGTTGCAAATCTAGGTGCTGCTGCTTTCGCCCAGGGCTGCTTTCTTCATTTGGCCCGAGACGATTGCTATTACTCTAAAGCCTGAACTCAGTTTTTTTATGCAGAGGTCTTATTGATTTGTGTGTGTATGAAATTGGTAAAAAAAAAAAAAATCAGAAACAGTCAGAAATCTTGTTGGGTTTAGACGAAGCTATGATGCTACAGCAACGGCTAAAGTGAGTACTTAAATTGTTAGCCCTTGACTTTAACATTATTTTCAGCGAGCATTAGTGTCATTTAAAGTGAACACCTGCACCTCATGATACAGTATAGTCAGAAGTTACACAACGCTTCTGGAGTGATGCTGCAATGCAAGGAGTACCTCAAAATTACTGCTAAGCTCAGCTAAGCTAAAGCTGCAGTTTTGACTTTCAGTTTGTGATGAATATAAAAAGCTAAAAAATAAACTGAAGCACTTTTTTTGGTGAGACCTGCTGCAGCCAGAGCAGGTAAGGTTATTATTAGCTAAAACCATTGTGTTGAGCTTGCACAAACCAATGTGGCAGGACAACAACTAAAACTGATGATGTTCTGCAGCACAAAGACACAAAGTGGTCGGTGCACTGGCCTTCACTCCACTTTTCAGCATTTTATAATGTAGTAAAGAGTAAGTGATATTAAGCAGCTGACATTACCCCTATAATTTAATAAAAATGTCACATCTTTACAAAGACAATGTATCTCCTGTTATAGTTTTTTTGTGCCTGTATTGTTAAGCCCTACACATTAAAACATTTTAGAGAAAGGTAAGAGCCATAATTTAATGATGCGGTTATGCTGTGAGCCTGTACGCACTCTGTTTAGTGTAGTGATTAAACTGAGAGAGTCATGTTTCAGCTGTGTTTGGGAGGACTGTGCAGGTGTGTGACATTATTGTGGCAGTCAAAATGTTGTGATCCAAATTTATCATCATGGCAAATACATGCAGCAGTAAAAAATGCAAAAAATAAATAAATAAAAAAAATTGGTAAAGGTAGACCATGCATTATTATTTCATTATCTCACTAACTGGCCACTTCATTAGGTACATCTGCAGCTCTGTTGAGATACGTACGTCTGTTATTATACACAACATCATACAAACCACTTCCAAACTTGAAAAAAAACCAGCTTGTATTTAATGTAGTCATCCTAATGTTATAAATTCATATTATTTTAGGTATGAATTTATATCAGCGTGCTAGAAAATTAAAGTAACAAAATAATTGTATAAAACAGAACAGTGAGCACTAACCAGTTGTCAAACCCTGTTCCTCTTTTAAATCTCTCACTCTTTTCGAGGCTGCCCTGTGTGGTTTCTCAGCCATTATTGAATTAACTAACTAAGGAGTAAAACTTTATTATATTTGATCAAGTAAAGATGAATATTTAAACCAGTTCTAGCACGATATTTCTTCCTCCATCCTTTAGGGTTTGATACGACGGAGCCTACAGTAGGTGTTAATTAGAGAAGGGCCGTGAAGCTAAACACAGCAGACGACTATAACAAGCAGTGAGGGGTAGTGACTGAGCGGAAGTACAAGAACGAGAAGGTCTATAGTCAAGAGGGTTCTGAATTCATCGGGTTTAAATTACATCACCTAAGTATCCAGCGTTCATTCAGTTAAAGTGTGTGCAGTTTTTTTTTTTTTTCATCAGGAAAGAGACGAGAGGCAACAAAAGCTCTTTACTCTGTTTTAATACTCAGTCTCGAGGGTTCCTGGATAAATGTCATTCAGTGAGATCAAACACACACCTGCCAACATTGTTTCCTCAATTCACTCCAGACGAGGCTCAGGCAGCACCTAAACAACAAATTCAAGGGCAAGCTTTTTTTTTTTAATTTCCACTGGCTGCGGTTGTTAATTTATTTACCGGCCTGTAGAGTGTTCCAGCTTTTCACTGCCTTGATTGAATTTTTTTTTTTCTAAATTGAAAGGATATGGCTGGTCATTAGAGGTCGGCCAGTTGGTTGGCTTTGAAACTGTCAAAAAAACATCGGCTTTGCTCTTTATTTATTTATTTTTTTCCAAATCTCTGTCATCCTGAGAATATCAAAACCTTTATGAATCTGTTTAAAGGGACAGTGTCTGTTTTTCTTTAATCTGAATGAATTGATGCTCACTCACACTGCACACACAGCTGTGGATGTTTTTTTGAGCAGCAGAAATAGGTTTTTATTTTATCCGTCATGTTGTGACGTCAGTAATACGAAAACAAATCATTTTATAAAAACAGACTGCACTATGGATTGTACTTATACCAAAATGGTAGAATAGAAAATGTGAGAAGGACAGCCAGAACATGTTTCTTTTTTGCTCTCATTCAACAGGTGGTATGAATGTTGATGTTTGTAACTGGATCAGAGGATTTTTGTCATTTTATTCTCCCAGGTCTGAGGTCCTTAAAAATGAGCTTCTTTTCACCATGGTTTCACTGAGGGAAGTATTTAACGTTAGAGGAATTAGGTTTTCTTTGCACTTTATCTTTTAGAGACATTTTAGGAAATTGTCGACGGTAACAAGGTGAAATTGTGGTAACATAAATCATAAGTTTGTAGATGAAATGTCAGACTCACCATTATATAATAATAGTCCATGTTATAACTATAGCTCAAAGATGTTTCATGGAGATACTGATGAGGGTGAACAATTTTCTCCTCAGCACAGATCACAGATGTTTTCAGTTACTTTTCAATTAAATTGTAACCTTCGTCACATCACTTTTGTCTTTTCCACAACAGAGATGCTTTGCACCTGATAATTAGTAGAGATGATCATCTCATCTGCTGTAAGCCCAGTTTTATCATAGTCATCTGGGGATTCACAGTTCATTAACTTGTCAAGTGGAGTTTGTCTGGCTCTGGTCTGGCTTCTCAAATTTAGGGCTGATCAAATATTACCTTAAGACCCAGCTACACACAGGTTGAACTCAATAGAGAATTTGTTACACCGGCAAACCAGTGATCTCCTTGTGTAAGGCATGGCTCGAACCTCTTATTTAACTAAATGGACCATAAACATAACACAACAACATCAACTTTTTTTAATTAATTGGACGTATTATCTATATGTAAAACTTAATGTCAATAATTTCTTATCATATTTTTATATATTTAAAAATGTCCTACATTTTTCATTATTTATTATTTAATAGTTACGCCCTGAATTTACTGTTTTACTTCTACTTTTAGTCTCTAAGTGCAAAGCTACTTTTAGACTGATGTTTTGTCATAAGAACACATCAAGGCTCCCGTTAGCATCAAAGAATCATCTATTCAGCAGCTCCTCTCACAGTCATGTGCTGCTGTTGTGTAGCAGCAGAGACACACACTCATAGTTCCAAAGAGAGCACAGGCTGCTGGTTTCAGACATGATGCTCTGAGTCTGTGGGAACAAAGTGCACTGGATGTAAACCAGCCACAGAAAACTGCAGACGTCAGAGTGGTTCAAATAGATGAGCACATTTACAATTAAAATTTCATGCACTTTTGCTTTTATATTTTTTTTTTTTTTTTTTGGAGGGAGGATTAATAAAGCAACGAAATCCTCTTGTACCGGAGTGTTGTTTTTTTTTTTTTTTTTCCTCTTTGTTGCACAGCTGAAAAGCCAGGGTGAATTTGTGCTTGCTGACATTTATAATCAACCCTCCAGAGCAGGGACAGGGTTTGATACCAGTACATTTTCTCTCAGTGTGCTGTAGTCCTGTTATGTCTGTACCTCTCACTGTCTCTGTACTTGTCTGCATGAAAGGAGGAAAACACAAGCACAAGATAGGCTTGTCTTCTTTCCTTTCAGACCAAATGAACACGAGCGCATGTATTGTGAATGAAGGCAGGAGGAAGATTGGTTTTGTTGGTAGAGTGCAACCATGAGATGAACAGCAGTGAGCACTTAGTGTGCCTTCTACTTTCAGACAGTCCTGCCGGTGGGTTGGCTGTATACATAAATTCACTTTTGCCATTGAAAGTAGCGAGAGTGTACGGTGTGTGAGTGTGTGTGAACAGTAATATTATTTTATATATACACACAAGGATACAGCAACATGTTGAAGTGTCGGTGCATATTAGATACTGTATCAGCGTGTGTGTGTGTGTGTGTGTGTGTGTGCGTGTGTGTGTGTGTGTGTGCCCATGCATGCATTCACAACCAGAGCCATCCTAAATGTTACCTTGGCAACAAGCTGACTGAAGTAAATGAGTGTCCTGGCTCTGCTGAGGGATTGTGGGAAAGCAATATGCCAACGTTCCGCCCCATTAGTTTGACGGACAGTCTGTTTGGCCTATAAGAGGTCAGCTGCCAAGGGCAGCCATATTAGCATTCTATGGGAGAGCCCTTGGCGTTGGTTTTACTCTAATGTTAATCTACCTGTGTGTGTGTGTGTGTGTGTGTGTGTGTGGCCGTGTTAGTGAGGAGTTAAAGCTTGTCCTAGCATGTGAGGTTGCGGACAGGCGTGTGCGTCAGGGTGTGTTTGTGTGGCC